AGGCGCCTGGTCCGTGGCGGAGACGTTCATCAGGTAGCTCGTCTTGGTCTCGTAGTCTAGGTACTCAACGGTGGTGATGAGGCCTGTGCTCTCATCGATCTCAAACTTCCCTTCCGCACCCGACAGGATTTTGTAGCTCACCAGCCCACCATTCCCTGGGAAACGACCACGAAACAGCCACTTAACCAGGGCTCCCCTGCCCCATGGAGGCATGGGGCTGCTGGAGGAGACGCTGGAGGAGACCCTTGCCACTCGCCCCTGGCTCCCTACCTGTGTCGCGGTCCGTGGCTCGCACCACGGCGACCGATGTGCCTATCCCGGCCGTCTCTCGCAGCCCCAGGCGGTTGTACTGCCGCTGCGTGAACACAGGCACCTCGTCGTTGACGTCCTCCACGTAGACGATCACCTGCAAGCCCCCCACCCCGGGGAGAGCACCAGTGAGCTGGGCACCGCTTTGCCCAAGAAGGGCTCAGCGAGAGAGTCGAGTCCGCTCCATCCTTTCCTGACCAGCACAGAGATAAGGTTGGATTCTAACCTTGCTTGGAGCACCCCCTACTCAAGCCCTTGCATGACTGCACTTTGGCTTGTGAGGACATGGGGAACCTTCTTGGTGGCTGCTGCCCTTCCCCTTAGCAGCCTCGTGAGCAAACGGCCCCGTTAGCCTGTGTTGACACCAAGCATTGGGCACATCCACGGTGGCCGTACCCGCACGGAGCTCCTCATGGCTCCCTGCTCCGTGTTGTACGCCTCCACCTCCAGCACGTGCGAGGAGTTCTGCTCCCGGTCCAGGGGCCGCAAGCCACGCATCAGCAGCCCGCTGCTGGGGTTGATCCGAAAGTGGTTGTGCTCGTTTCCTGCTGGGGGGAGATGGAAGGAGCTGCTCCATGCAGGCTCCTGCTGCAGAAACATCTCCCCTCATCCCCAGCGCAGACCACGCACAGGGTCACCATGCTCACCCTTGACGATACGGTACCACACTTGGCCGTTCGCGCCTTCATCCGCATCTGTGGCTTTCACCTTGGCAAGGGGGAAGGAGAGGATGGTGAAGAAAAGAGATTGGAGACCGTGACAGATCCCCAGACCCAGGGATGGGCCTCCTCTTCTTCACTGCACGGCAGCGGGAAGCAAAGTAAAACCCTCTCGATTACCTCGACCGGCACCCAGCACGACGCACTGGCCACATCGTGCTGCAGCCCATCCCATGGGATGCATTTTGAGTGCATTCAGCCCTGAGCTGCCACTTCATTGGCAAAGCCACCCCCAAATCCTGCTGCCGGAGCGATTTGCAGCGCCCAGCACCGTCGCGCGCCTGGCGCTGGGCCGATGCGTGCGCAGGTGTGCGAGCGCTCCTGCCTGCCGTGCTGTGCCCGTCCCCCGGCGCAGCTCGGTGGCCACAGCTGGCCACCCTGCAGAGCTGCGGTTTACAGGTGTCTGCTGAAAAATGGCTTCAATAACGGAGCAGCAGGCGCAGGCAAGCGCGCACGGCAAAGCCCCCCGGGCTTGCAGCCAAGCTCGCGCTGTAGCGTGCTCCCCTCCGGCCCTACATGAATGCGGCATTCAGCAGCGCTCACTGAGCCTTTCAGACCCGCTCCAAGGGGGCCCACAAGCGAAACAAGAGCCCCAGCTCTTCTCTCCCTCCCTTGCCCCTGCTCACAGCTCCTTTGCATGCACGCACACATTCCCCCTGTAAAACCGGGGGCTGTGCTCTCCCAGCACCGTGTCTTGCTGTCATGGGGCAGCCCAATGGGCACAGGAGGGGACCCCAGAGAAGGAGCACGCCACGTGCCTGCACGATGCTGCTGGCAGCCGCGATGTCCTCGGGCACGCTGGCTTCATAGCTGCTCT